GTTCTGGTGCTAGAGCTGGAGGTGCTTCTGCTGGAGGTTCTGGGGGTGTTGTCTCTGGAGGTCCTGCCGCTGGAGGTGCTGCTGCTGGAGGTTCTGGGGGTGTTGTCTCTGGAGGTCATGCCGCTGGAGGTGCTCGCGTTTCTGGTGCTGGAGCTGGAGGTGCTGCTGCTGGAGGTTCTGGGGGTGCTGTCTCTGGAGGTCCTGCCGCTGGAGGAGCTCGCGGTTCTGGTGCTGGAGCTGGAGGTGCTGCTGCCGGAGGTTCTGGGGGTGCTGCTGCTGGAGGCTCTGGGGGTGCTGTCTCTAGAGGTCCTGTCGCTGGGGGTCCTTGCGGTACTGGTCTGGAGCTGGGGGTGCTGCTGCTGGAGGTTTTGGGGGTGCTGTCTCTGGAGGTCCTGCCGCTGGGGGTACTGGCGGTACTGGTGCTGGATTTGGAGGTGCTTCTGGGACTGGTGGTCCTGGTGTTTGTGCTAGAGGAGCTGGACCAGGGGGTGTGTCGCAATCGCTGCTACGGCGGCCGTTGTTCTGGGAGCAGCAGCCGTCGTCGCTACCGTGACCTGGGTCGGCGCTTCACGACCTTCTCAGTCTCCCTCCTGCCTCCGCTGAGCCGACAGCCTTTGGTACTACTCCTCCTCTCCTGTTTCCGCCTCCTGACCTGTCTCAGGCACCGTTGCCTACTGGCTCCCCTCTGCCTGCTCCTGCTCGTTACTCCCCAGTGTCCGACTCCCAGACCGAGTGTCGGGAGCCTGCGTCTCGCGCTACCTCACATGTTGTTCGTGTTCGTCGTGCTTCGCCCTCCTCCTGTTCCCAGTACGCACCCTATGGCACATCGTCCTTCCTTTGTTTCGTAGTCTGTTGTCCTGCCATCACCTCCTCCGTCTTCTCTACCTGGCGTTCCTGACCCCCCGTCTGACCTTGTTCGTGCTGCCAGTCCGACTGTCACTCGTTGTCTTGCCACGCTTGTGACTGACCCTACGTTTTTGTCTGTTGTTGCCTCTGCCTTAGTCGCTGAGCTTACTGACTTTGCTGCTACTTGCCGCCTTGAAGCGGCCGCCAGGTTCACCGCCTGACTTTTACGTTGCACGTGGCTTCAGTCAGCGTGAGGGGGTGGACTTCTTCCATACCTTCTCCCCCACCCCGAAGATGACGACACTTCGTGTGTTACTACACGTTGCAGCACAGCGTGACTACGAGCTTCACTCACTCGACTTCTCGACGGCTTTCTTGCAGGCCAACCTCCACGAGGAGATCTGGCTGCACCGCCCACCCAGCTTCACTGGTTCGTTTCCTGAGGGTACCCAGTGTCAAAATATATCTTTATATATATTTTGTGTAAATGTTTGCAGTGTAGCTGTAGTTTCCTGTTGGTGGTTTACTTTCTTTCCTTGCCTTGTTTCTATTTGTATTGATTGCTCTCTAGTGAATCCCCTCTTTGACCAAATATTCTCTCGCTACTCTCCTAACCAAGCGCTTGCCATGGTCCTAAGTTACTCCTACATCCCACTATTTTAACACCAAGTGGAGTCTCAGGCGGTCAGTCTACGGTTTGCATCAGGCGCCCCACGAGTGGCACGACACACTGAGGACGTCACTTGCGGCTCTTGGCTTTGCTCCTTCGACTGCTGACCCGTCCCTGTTTCTGCGCATAGACCCTGCATTACCGACGTTCTACATCCTCGTGTACGTAGATGACCTGGTCTTTGCGACTGCTGACAGTGAGGCACTGGCCTTCGTGAAGGCCGAGCAGCAGAAGAGACACACCTGCACTGATCTGGGTGAACTGCGGAGCTATCTTGGCCTGTGGATCACCCGGGACAGAGTAGTGCGCACCATCACTCTGACTCGGTCACACATGGTGCAGCAGGTCCTTCAGCGGTTCGACTTTCAATTCTCCTCCGCACAGTCCACTCCTCTGCCTATTGGCCATTCGCTCTCAGCTCCACTTTCGGACGAGTCCGTAGAGCCGAGTGGTCAGTATCCAGAGCTTGTGGGCTGCCTCATGTACCTGATGACGTGCACTCGGCCTGACCTTGAGCACCCTCTCAGCATCATTGCTCGCTACGTTGCGCCCGAAAGACACCGACCAGAGCACAGGCGGGCTGCTAAGAGGGTGCTGCGCTACTTGGCCAGTACATCAGGCTTGGGGCTTGTGCTTGGAGGACAGAGTCGAGTTGTGCTCACAGGGCACTCAGACGCTTCCTGAGCCGACTACCAGGCCACTTCCCGGTCTTCACAGGGCTACACTTTCAGCCTTGGCACTGGTTCTGTCTCATGGAGGTCCACTCGCACATCTTCTGTGCTCAGCTCTAGATGTGAGGCCGAGATCTACGCTGGGGCTATGGCTGCACAGGAGTTACGCAGGCTGACCTACTTGCTCACCGACTTGGGTGAGCAGCCTCGCTCTGCACCGGTTTTGTTCGTTGACAACAAGGCCATAATTGCCTTGTGTCAGGAGCAAAGACTAGAGAACAGAACAAAACACATTGCGCTTCGTTACTTTCTCGTGCGATAGCTGCAGCAGTGTGGTCAGCTTCGCCTTTCCTACGTGGCCTCCGAGTCCAAAACTGCTTATATCAACAAGTCACTTGGGTCTAGTGATCATAAGCGTTTCTGCACTGCTCTTGGCCTTGTGCCTACCCTGCCTCACTTGCTTGGCTCTTGACCAGGGCCTCAGATTTCAGCAAAAAAGGCTGTTTTAGGTTTAAAAAAAAAAGGCTGAGATTTCAGACTTTTTTTAGAACCAACGCTGATTTTCAGCATTTGTTTGGAAAAATACAGGAAAAACTAGGATATTTCTAGTATAAAATGGCATATTATGGCTGGTTTGTCTGATTTTCAGCTTATTTTTTTTACCTACTCTGATTTGTCAGACTAGCCCAAAACCAATCTGAGGCCCTGCTCTTGATCTTGTTTTTGTACTTGCTGTACACTGGTATCTATTTTTACCTGCATGCGTACACTTGCTAGGTTGTGATCATTGTACTGCTTTTGTTGTTATCGCACAGCATCTGAACTGGCCTTGTGGCCACTTGCTTGTGCTCGGACTGTGTGGTGATCTTGAGATTCACCCTGAGTTTTGCTTTGTACTGGTCTTGTGACCGTTTGTCGTGCCTGCTTGTCAAATGATGTAGCCTTTAGTGATGCGTGTTATATGGGGTACAGCAGTTAGGGTTAGGTTCATGTACCCCAACCCACAAGAGTCAATCATCACTTCAGTTTCTAACATGGTGACGCCCACCCTCCCTGCCCCTATATCATTCAGACAGGTACTCGCAGCGGCTTCCGCTGTGACCGCCGCCACCTACCGGGTCAGTGCTTTGCTCAACTCACTGACACTCTTCGCGCGGCCTACGGCGTCGACGGCCCTGCCCCTGGCTGGCTTCCTCTTGTTCACTCGCACGGTGCCGCTCTGTGGGCCATGTCTGCTTCTCAGTTGCTTGATCTCTTAGGAACTCCTCATGCTATGTATGCTGTTGTTGACTCTAGTGCTTCTGACTCTGTTTACTCGCGTGTTTTTAGCTTAGGTGCTAGTGTTGATCCTGTGCCGGTTGCTAGTGTAGGTACTTGCTTAGGTGCTAGTCCATGTGCTGTTCCGGAGGACGCTTCGCTGTCTTTCACCCTGGACTCCGGAGCTTCGCACTGTTTCTTCCGCGACCACACGACTCTTACTCCGCTTCCTGCGCCGGTCTCCGTAGCACTGGCTGATCCCACTTCGGGACCAGTCACTGCTCGCTACACTACTACGCTTCTGTGCCTGGCTGTTCCCTCGGGTTTCCTAACCGACTTTGACGTCCCCTCGTTCTCTAGGAACTTGGTGGGTGTGAGGTCGCTCGTGGACAGTCACGTGGGTGTTTGGATTGAGCCTTCTGGGGACACTGCGAACTGTGTAGACGGTGACACGTACGCGCCCCTAGCCACCTTTTGCTCTGAGCCAGGCTCTGGTCTCTACACACTTCACACTGGCCCCCGAGAGAGGCAGCAGCAGCAGCAGTGGCAGCAGCAGCAGCAGCTCCCTTCGACCCCTGTCACTGCCCCCCTTCAGGTCCCCGCGTCTCACCAGGTTGCCGCCTCCCACCAGGTAGCTGTGTCTGGTCAGGTTCCAGCGTCTAGTCCGGTTGCTGCGTCTTGTTCGTGTCGGTCGCTTGCCCACCCCACCGTTCTGTACCACCACCGCCTTGGTCACCCGTCCATTCCTTGCCTGCGCACTATGTCTAGTCAGCGTCTCGTCTTATGCCTCCCGCGAGTCTTGCCGTCGCTGCCGCCTTCGCTTGCACCACCTTGTGCCCCTTGCGTCGAGGGTCGGCTGCGCGCCACCCCTCACTTCTCCTCCCTTCGTCCGGCCACCAAGCCCTTCGAGACTCTCCACTTGGACGTCTGGGGCCCCGCCTCTCGCCCTGGCCCTGAGCGAGAGAGTTTCTTTCTGGTGGTCTTTGACGACTAGTCTCGCTACACCACCGTGTTTCCAGGCGTGGGGCTGGTACTTGGAGGGACACAGCCTGTCGTACTTACTGGTCACTGTGACTCTTCTTACGCTGACGACGCCGAGACACACAGGTCTACTCAGGGGAACTGCTTCAGTCTAGGCTCTGGAGCTGTTTCGTAGAGGTCCACGCGTTCCTCCTCTGTCTCGACTGTTAGAATCAAAGAAAGAACAAGAATGATTGAACTAGGAAGATTGAGGGTACAAGTAGGAAACCCTAGAGTAATGTACCCCCTAAAGGCTAACCCACTATAGCCTACACAGCAGTAACATGTATAATGTTTGACACACCCCCATAGGCAAAGTGGGGGAGAGCAAGGGGTCACAAGACCAGTCAAAGCAAAGCAAAGCAAAGCAAGCTCAGGGTGGATCTCAAGGAAACCACACAAATTCTGAGCACAAGCAAGTGGTCACAAGACCAGTTCACATGCAGTTTGATAATATAACAAGAGGTACAGTGATCATAACCTAGCAAGTGTAAGCATGCACGTATATATATATAGAGATCACAGTACAAGCAGAGTCAAGAAGTAAGCAAGTGAGGCACAGTAGGCACAAGGCCTAGAACAGTACAGAAACGCTGATGATCACAAGGCTGAAGCGCCTTGGTGAACACATCAGCAGTGTTGGCCCGAGTGGCCACGTAATCAAGACGAAGCTGACCACGCTGCTGCAGCTCTCGAGCAAGGAAGTAGCGCAGAGCAATGTGCTTCGTTCTGTGCTCCAGTCTGTGCTCCTGACACAAGGCAATGGCAGCCTTGTTGTCGACGTACAGCACTGGAGGAGAACGAGGCCGCTCTCCCAGGTCAGCCAGTAGGTAGGTGAGCCAGCGTAACTCCTGTGCAGCCATGGCTGTGGCGTAGATCTCAGCCTCACAACTGGAGCTGAGAACTGAAGACGAGCGTGTAGAACGCCAAGAAACTGAACCAGAGCCAAGGCTGAAGGTGTAACCCTGAGACGACCGCTGCGTAGCCTGGTCGTCAGCCCAAGAAGCGTCTGAGTGCCCAGTGAGGACAACGTCGCTCCGTCCTCCAAGCACAAGCCCCATGCCCGACGTACTGCACAAGTAGCGCAACACCCTCTTAGCGGCATCCATGTGCTCCTTCCGGTGACGGCCAGGAGCGACATAGCGTGCTAGGATGCTAAGAGGGTATGCAAGGTCAGGTCGAGTGCAAGTCATCAGGTACATGAGGCAGCCCACAAGCTCTGGATACGGGCCACTTGGCTCTAGGGACTCATCCGAAGGCAGAGCTGAGAGCGAGTGACCAGTAGGCAGAGGAGTGGGCTGAGGCGTGGAGTACGTGAAGCGGAAGCGCTGAAGGACCTGCTGCACCATGTGTGACTGAGTCAAGGTGATGGTGCGCTGTGCTCTGTCCCGGGTGATCCGCAAGCCAAGATAGCTTGTCAGTTCACCCAGGTCTGTGCACGTGTGTCTCTTCTGCAGCTCCGACTTCACGTGGGCGAGTGCCTCAGTGTCAGCAGTAGCAAAGACCAAGTCGTCTACGTACATGAGAACGTAGAACGGCGGCAGAGTGGTGTCGGTGCGTAGAAACAGCGACGGGTCAGCAGTAGAAGGAGGAAACCCAAGAGCAGCAAGAGTAGTCCTCAGTGTGTCGTGCCACTCACGGGGTGCCTGGCGGAGACCGTAGACTGGCCGCCGGAGGCTCCACTGGGTACCAGCAGGGAATGACCCAGTGAAGCCAGGTGGGCGGCGCAGCCAGATCTCCTCGTGCAGGCTACCCTGTAGGAAAGCAGTGCTGAAGTCAAGAGAGTGGAGCTCGTAGTCACGCTGAGCGGCGACGTGCAGCAGAACCCGAAGAGTGGTCATCTTCGGGGTCGGGGAGAAGGTCTGGAAGAAGTCAACTCCCTCTCGCTGACTGAAGCCTCGTGCAACGTAACGCGCCTTGAAGACAGGCGGAGAACCCGGCGGCCGCTTCACCCTGAAAATCCACATGCCACTGACGATGTTCGCCCCAGGTGGGGGAACCTTGTCGACGTAGGTGCCTGTGGACTTCCAGGAAGCCATCTCTGCGTCCATGGCTGTCTGCCACTGAGAGGAGTAGGGACCCTCTATCGCCTCTGCGTAAGAGCGCGGGGTCGGGATGTCTGGTGCATCCGGGTCTCCCTCAGGGGCAATCAGCATGGACACGAGATGAGGTAAAGCAGCGGCAAACCACTCAAACTCCTCCTGTCTGTCCTCAAGGACGTCCGTGCCAAGAGCACACTCACCCCCGACGGACGGAGGACAGACAGACTCAGACTCAGCAACAAGGCTAGCGGCGTAGTCTAGACGACAGGCGGCAGCAAAGTCAACAAGCTCAGCAACTAGCGAGAAGACGCGTGACAGTAGGACTGGCAGCACGAGCAAGGTCTGACAGCGGGTCAGCAACGTCAGGAAGAGAGGACGCAGGAGGAGACGGTAGAGGGACACGCTGTGGAGCAGTGGAAGGACGCAGAGTCATATAGTGAGTGCCAAGTACAGGAGGAGGACGCTAACGCGGAGCACGACGACCAGCGCGGACAGCGCGAACAGACGACTCTGGACGAGACTCAGGCGACTCAGGACGAGACTCAGGCGACGCAGGACGAGACTCAGGCTCACGACGCTCTGTAAGACCTCTAGTCGGCCCAGCGTAAGGAGAAGGACCAGGCAGCGGAGAGGCAAGCGGTAACTGTGACTGCGACTGGACAGGTGGTGGACTCAGTAGGGGAGGAGAAGGACCAGTGGAGGGCGGGAGGCCAAGAACCTGCTGAAGGAGCGGAACGTAGTACGGCTGCGGCCGCTCAGCACCTCCTGAACCAGCAGAGACAGCGCCAGCACCCTCAGCCCCAGGGTCTCCAGCGACAACTCCCGCAGCACCACCAGTAACCTCAGCAGCTCCAGTACCTCCAGCTCCAACCCCCGCAGCAGCTCCAGTCCCAGCAGCTCCAGTACCTCCAGTACGAGCACCGTCACAACCAGTGGCTCCAGCAGCTCCAGCACCAGCAGGACCTCCAGTAGCTCCAGTACCAGCAGCACCTCCAGCAGCACCTGCACCAGCAGCACCTCCAGCAGCACCAGCAGCGCCTCCAGCAGCTCCAGTACCAGCAGCACCTCCAGCACCAGCAGTGCCTCCAGCAGCTCCAGCACCAGCAGCACCACCAGCAGCACCACCAGCAGCTCCTGCACCAGCAGCAGCTCCAGCTCCAGGGTCCGCTGCACCAGCAGCAGCTCCAGCTCCAGGATCCAAAGCACCAGTAGCTCCACTCCGGAGACTGCAGCGCCAAGCGTACCACTCTCGGAGCCGCTGGGGAGAGAGCGCACCAGCAGCGCCTCTAGCAGCTCCAGCTCCAGCAGCACCTCCAGCAGCACCACCAGCAGCTCCTGCGCCAGCAGCACCAGCACCAGCACCAGCTCCAGCTCCAGGGTCCGCGGCACCAGCAGCAACTCCAACTCCAACATCCTCAGCACCAGCAGCAGCTCCAACTCCAGGGTCGGCGGCACCAGCAGCACCACTCCGGAGACTGCAGCGCCGAGCGTACCACTCTCGGAGCCGCTGGGGAGATGGCGGCTCCCGCCTAGGCGGGGGAACCACGAGCACCAGCTCCAGCAGCACCCCTAGCCCCAGAAGCGCCCCTCCTGAGGCTGCAGTACCGCGAGTACCACTCACGCAGCTGCTGGGAAGAGGGAGCGCCTCCAGGCGTAGCACGGTCAGTCGCAGCACCCCCAAGCTCAGTACCCTCAGACGTAGCACTCTCAGGCTCAGCACCCCCAGACTCAGCACCCGCAGGCTCAGCACCCCCAGACTCAGCACCCCCAGGCTCCGCACGCTCAGGCTCAGCACCCCCAGGCTCCGCACCCCCAGGCTCAGCACCCCTAGCAGGACGAGAGTCGACAGCTACCTCGACAGGCTCAGCCGGGTCTACCTGGGACACACCTAAGGGGGGAGGGGGTCTACCACAGCAGCACCTGGTGCGAGGAAGAGAGGCGGGGGGGGGAGCGGGGCAGTGCGCTAGGGGAAGAGGCGGTAGTAGGGGACCGACTCGTCAAAGGTGACGTTCTGAGAGGGCAAGACACGGCGCGAGGTGGCGTGGTAAAACTGCCAACCAGACACGTCCGGGACAAAGCCAAGGAAGACACAAGGAACAGCGCGGGAGGAGAGGTTGTTAGCGGACGTATCGCGGACAAAAAGCACGAGATCCCCAGACCCGAAAAACGCGACCCATCGCCAACCTTCCCCGTCCACAGCAATGTGGGCGAGGTCTCCGGCAAGGAGACACGGGGCCAGAGGTTGAGCTGATGCGCGGCGTACCGGACCGCAAACGGCCACAGAAAGTGGGGGGCAGCCGCATGGATCAAGGAGGTACGAGGGACCTCCATGACCAAGCCAATGCGGCGCTCAGCAACCCCATTCTGCTGTGGAGAGGCCAGAAGCGTGAACGACTGCTCAATGCCCTCCCCCTGACAGAAGGCCCTCAAGAGGTCGGAGGAAAACTCCCCACCTCTGTCAGAGTGCAGACGCAGGACAGGAAAGTCCGAGTGGAACCTCTCGCTGAGCTGGAGACGGGCAGCGCGGATCCAAGGGATCAAAACATCAGGGACTTCACCCTTGGTGCGCAAGGGGAAGACCGTGGTGTAGCGCGAGTAGTCGTCAACAACTATCAAGAAGTACCTCTCGTGACCCTGTCCACGGACGCGGGCTGGGCCCCACACGTCCATGTGGAGGGTCTGCAGGGGAGCAGTCATCGGGGGAAACGAGGAGGAGTGAGGAGCGGCGCGCTGCCGCCCCTCGACACAGGGAAGACAGGGAGGAGCAGGCGAGGGTGGGAGGGGAGGGAGAACCCTGGGAAGACCAGAGACAAGGTACCGGGAGTGCATGCCACGAAGGCGCTGCACTGACGGGTGACCAAGGCGGTGGTGCCAGAGGACGGTCTCGTGCGCCAGGGAGCGACACGAGCAGGGGGCCGACAGCTGACCTGACGCAGACGCAGACGCAGCTACCTGGGGGGACTTAGTGGTCAGTGTGTACAGGTCCGACCCCGGCTGCCGAGTGAAGGTAGCCAGGTGGCGACCCGTCCGAGCACACGTGCAGTGTGTCACGCGCTCGTAGGCAGGGGTGAACTGGTGGACACCCCCGTCCTGGAGCGCACGACCCGCCACCAAGTTCGTAGAGAACGAGGGGAGGTAGAGACCTGACAGTGTGCCCGACGGGACCGCAGGACAAGGGAGGACAGTGGAGGAGGTCGCAATGACCGGACCCCCAGAGGGGTCAGCGAGGGAGACTGCAACCGGCCGAGCAAGCTGCTCAAGGGCAGTGCGGTCACGAAAGAAACAGCGGGAAGCACCTGAGTCCAGTGTGAAGGTGTGCAGTGCCTCAGTAGACGTAGTACCAGAGGGCGCAGACTCACGAGTACCTAGAGCAGCAGCCTCACCAGCACCTGGGGCAACAGACACACTAGCACCTAGAGCGGCAGCCTCACCAGCACCTGAGGCAACACACACACGAGCACCTAGTGCGGCAGCCTCACCAGTACCTAGAGCAGCAGACTGGATAGCATAGTAGAAAATGCATAGCAGGCGGCACACACAGGTGACAGGCACTCTCAGCACTAGTAGAAAATGCATACATGGCAGTGAGGATAGCATCATAGTCAAGAGCAAAGATATCTACCCTCTGCCTAAGCAGCTCCAGCCAGGAGGGGAGCTCAGCGGCGTCGCCAAACTCTGTACGCCAAGCGTCGCCCAGACGGGCGAAGCAGTGGGACTCTGTGTGACCACGTGTCCCGCAAGGCTGACCAGTCCGGACACCTGTGCGACTGACGTACGGGCAGCGAGCAGTACTCAGTGACCCTCTACTCTTAGCGTACCACTCACGAAGCTGCTGGGGCGAAAGAGCCTCGCGGGGACGACGCTGCAGCTGCACCTGGCCACTACCAGAAGCTCCCGAACTACCCACTCCAGAGCGACTCCCACTACGGCCACCCCGACAACCCCAACGAGCGTACCACTCACGAAGCTGCTGGGGCGTGAGGGACTCACGCGGACGGCCCTGGAGCTGCATCTGGCCACGCCAGGAGCAGCAAGTAGCAGCAGTAGCAGAAGCAGTAAGAGCAGTAAAAGCAGTAGCAGCGGTAGCAGCGCAAGCAGGGCAGTGTTCACCAGTGGTGGGAAGGGCAGGCGCAAGACGGCGGCGACAGCGGGGCCGCTACAGCTGCAGGGCGGGGCCGGGCCGCGGCAGGGAGCTCCGCTGCAGCTGCTGCAGGGGCGGGGCCAAGACTGCGGCTAAAGGCTCCGCGGGCAGTTGCTGCAGGGCGGGGCCCGGGTCGCGACGGCAGCTGCTCCAGGGGCGGCTGCTGCAGGGGCGGCTGCTCCAGGGGCGGCTGCTGCAGGGGCGGCTGCTCCATGTGGTCAGGGGCGGCTGCTGCAGGGGCGGCTGCTCCAGGGGCGAGGGGCGTCTGCAGGTGCGGCTGCTCCAGGGGCCAGGGGCGGCTGCTGCAGTGGCGGCTGCTCCAGGGGCCAGGGGGCGGCCGTCCCAAGGGCGGGCGCGGGGTAGGGAAGGGCGCCGCGGCTGGCAGGGGCGACTCCGCGCGGGTCCCGCAGGGGCGTCGCGACAAGGCAGGGGCGGCGCGGCTCGGGTGGGGCCGGGCGTTAGCGGGGCTGCAAGGGCAGGGGCTACGCGGGGCGGGGCCTGGTCGCGCGGGGCACGCAAGGGCGGGCTAGTGGGGCGGGGCCGGTACGCGAGGGGCACGCAAGGGCGCGCGGGTGGGGCAGGTCCGGTCGCACGGGGCACGCAAGGGCGCGCGAGGAAGGGCGGGGCCGGTACGCGAGGAGCGCGCAAGGGCGCTCAGGGCAGCGAGCGCGTGGGGCCGCACGAGGCACGCAAGGGCCGCGCGCGGGGCAGGCGACGCGCGTGGGGCTGCGCGGGTCGCACGCAAGGGCGTGCGAGGAGGGCGAGGTCGATCGCGTGGGGCACGCTAGGGCGCTGCGGGCTGGGCGGGGCCGGTTCGCAAGGGGCACGCTAGGGCGCGCTACAGTGCAGATGAGAGGAGGGCGCTCGAGGGCGCGACTAGGCAAGGCGCGCTCGGGCGCGACGAACGGAAACGGTGGGCCCTATCAGTCGGTCCTAGGTTACGACCTAGGCTCGTAATACCATGTTAGAATCTAAGAAAGAACAAGAATGATTGAACTAGGAAGATTGAGGGTACAAGTAGGAAACCCTAGAGTAATGTACCCCCTAAAGGCTAACCCACTGTAGCCTACACAGCAGTAAACATGTATAATGTTTGACATCGACCTCTACTGCTGAGGCTGAGATCTACGCTGGAGCCATGGCTACACAGGAGCTGCGCTGGTTGACCTTCTTGCTCACAGACCTTGGTGAGCGGCCGAGCTCTGCACCGACCTTGTTTACTGACAACAAGGCTACGATTCTCCTCTGTCGAGAGCCTCGACTGGAGAGCAGGGTGAAGCACATCAACATCAGGTACTTTCTTCTGCGAGAGTTGCAGAGGCGTGGACAGGCTCGCTTGGACTTTGTGGAGTCCGAGGCCAACACTGCAGACATCTTCACCAAGGCTCTTCCGCCTTTTGACCACCACAGATGTTGTGTGCAGTTAGGTCTCGTTGACATAGATTCTCGTCTTGTGTAGACTTTACTTGTTTTGTTGTACACTTGCATATACCTCTGTGAACTCTTGGACTGGCCTTGTGGCTCTTTTGCTTGTGCTCGGACTGTGTGGTGAAGTTGTGATCCACCCTGAGCTTTGTTTCTTTGTGACTGGTCTTGTGACCGTACGGTTTTGGTTTTGCTTGACAACCCCTCACTTAAGCTATAGGGGTGTGTCAAATGATGTAGCATTTAGTAATGCGTGTCATATGGGGTACAACAGTTAGGTTTAGGTTAATGTACCCCAACCCACAATAGTCAATCATCACTTCAGTTTTTAACACTGCTATCCCTCACTTAGCCTATGGGGGTGTGTCAAAACATGTTTATATGTTTGTTAGGTTTGTTAGGCTGCAGTGAGGTGCACAGTATAGGGTACAACAAATCCAGGGTTTCCTATTTGTATCACCCTGCTGCCTAGTTCATTCATTCCGCTGTTTCACATTCTCACATCTTGGGCTATTTCTGAAGCGTAGGCCAACGCATATAAAGGGTACATGGTTTGACAAAAGCTGGAGAACACCGTTGACCGATAACGGGTGAAGATTACTGGTCGAGCCTGTGAACAGTGTTGTACCGTATGTGATGAAGTCAGGTATGTATGACTGAAGGAATTTAACATTTCCTTACATAGTACAAACAATAACATACCTGCTGTACAAAACAGGGTTTGTCACACAAGATCACCCAGAGTGGCACTTCTAGGCACCTGAGTTTGCCTCACCGATACCAACCCATGCCGTATACAACTGCGTGCTCTCACATCCTTCCTGTCACCACCCAGATCACCCCCAAGCTTAATCACCGGGCAGGGTGCGTTTCCAGCACAGTGAATTGTGAAGTTGTTGGAGGCAAATTTGCCAGAGAAGTTGAGCGCTTTACACGCATGGGAGGAGGGGAGCAGCAGCAGCTCTGCGTTGATATGCCGACAAAACCGGATCACCGCTTCTGGCTTCGCCTCCCACGAGAGTGCCTGCGACGGCGGTGATTTTTCAGAGGTTTTTCTCGGAGAATCCGAGGGCGGGCGATTTCGTGGATAGGGTGGGGACTAGTGTCCCGTTTTCTGCTGCCGTCCGGCTCCCCTGCGATGTCTGATGAGGTCGATAGCCTCGAACCGAATCTGCAAACGCCAGGGGGAGAGGAGGAAATGTGGAGATGACGCCGCAGAGTATGAGAGCAAGCATGGAGCACATGTGTGCAAGGCAGGCCCTCAGAAGCCGTGCCACCATGCACCGCCTTCCATCAGGATCCCTCGCATCTCGCATTTGCCTTTGCAGCTTGTTATTCCCATCACCATCACCCTGCATGCCCCTCAAGTTGCACGCCCCCGACTCGCGGATTCGAAGGCGCCTGAACAGTGAAAGCCCCAGCGCCCTCGCCAGACAATCTCCGCTTTGCACGCCCTGCCACCCCACGTGGAATCCTCCCTCAGCGCGCTCACTCTGCACTCCCTACCAACCCTACCTTCCTCCTCCTCCCTCACCTTGCACGCGCGCGCAACAGCCGCCATGCGCATGACCGCGCGCTTGGTGCGCCGATCCCACGCCGTCCTCTCCGCCAGCGCGCGCCGAACCTCCCGCTCCGCCATCAGCGCCATCACCACCACCGGCGCCGCGTCTGCGCGCCCCGCCTCTTGCATCTGCCGCACCACGTTTGAAGGGTTTAGCTGCGGTCGCCACAGCTGGTGGCGCGGTAGGTCTGGGCGGGAAGGGGAAAGAGGAGAGAAAGGCAGAAGGGAAAGGGGAGAGGAAAGGCAGAAGGGAAAGGGAGAGGAAAGGCAGAAGGGAAAGGGGAGAGGAAAGGCAGAAGGGAAAGGGGAGAGGAAAGGCAGAAGGGAAAGGGGAGAGGAAAGGCAGAAGGGAAAGGGGAGAGAGGAAGGCAGAAGGTGAGAGTGAAATAGAGGGAGAGGAAAGCAGAAGGGAAAGGGGAGGAAAGGCAGAAGGGAAAGGGGCAGGAGAAGGCAGAAGGGAAAGGGGAGAGGAAAGGCAGAAGGGAAAGGGGAGAGGAAAGGCGAGAAGGGAAAGGGGCGAGAGGAAAGGCAGAAGGGAAAGGGGAGAAGAAAGGCAGAAGGAAAGGGGAGAGGAAAGGCGGAATGCGGGCGCTGTCAGGACGAGGGCGAGAAGAGGATGGGGTGGGGAAGAGCGAGGATGCGAGGATTTGGAAGAAGTGAATCATGAACGCTTACTTAGCTGGCGCGTGACGCTGACGTCGCCGCCATCGTCGCCGCCGGACAGCGGGAGGTCGACCGGAGATTCGAGCTTCCCGCGGCCAGAGACTCAGGAGCGCAGATAAGATGGACCGCGGGTCGACGGGCGACGCGGGGCTGTTTTCCGATTGGCTGTCGCTCGATTTGTCGCTCAATCTGTCGTTTGACCCGTCGCGAAGCTTTCCAGTGCCACGTGTCATGATGCTAATGGGGCGTGTGGTTCGCAGTGGTGGAACACCACCACAAGGCGGTCCGTGGGTTTGAGTTGAAACATCCGTAGAAGAAGCGGCGAGATTCGCGGGGAGGAATGAATTGCGTTTTGTGGCAGGATGGCAGCGAGGGAGTCGAACGCGTTTAGGCACGACTTGCAAGGTCTATAGCGAGTACGACCGTCCGCCTCCTCGCCCACGCTATAGAGAGAGTATCGAGCTTCTTCGTATCGGAGTGAAACGGCGGCGCCATTGTTCCTGAATATATTTTCTTGGTTCGCGATGCGAGGCAACCTTCAGGGTCTCTATTCGGATCCTTGAGGATTTAATACGTAATGCGACCTGCTAAACAATAAGTAGCTTGTGTAGGTGGTACTTCCGAGATGTTGTCTGAGCGAGTCGGATTCCAATCGACGCGTTGCTGAAAAGCGCTTCGAAGGCCGATACTGACAAGAATCGGCAACTCAATCGAGGTTACGGAGCAGGCAATCTCGAGGTCTTATCTTCGGGGCCCGAAGTCCCGGGACTTCGCGGGACGATGCGAGTGTGTTTTTTGGAACGACTCGGAAGACAATGCTCAGAGAACAACGGAGCTCGCTTCTTTTGAAAGCTGGGTCGATTGAGCACCGCGACGCTGTCTCTTATGTTCAGGGTGTGAGTGGTGCGAGGAGCTAGAAACGTCAAGGAACGCACGCTTGAACGAGGACTGTACAGTTGCCACGATTCATGGTCATAACTCATGGGTCCTCACTTCCCCAGCACTAGCCGTTGGTCAGAAGGGACAGTCGTCACCCCGAATGGTGAGCTGCCGGCACGGACCGCAAATGGCTGTTACTGAACTGCAGAGAAAGCAAGCTGGTGCTGCGCTGCTAGGGAAGGGACGGGAGGAAGGGCCGTTCGACTCGCTGACAATGCTGATAAGATATGGCTGGCAACGGTGGCAAGCACTCGGAAAGCCGCAGACGAAACAGACAGTCGTCTAGGCTGGTTTGCCGTTTCTTTGCCGGAATTTACATTGGAGAGCGCCGCTTGCTCTGCTTGCTGCTGTGGGAAGGGAATGCTTTCACAAGCTTCCAGCTGCAGCGAGAATCATGAACCACGCTCCTGCTGGTGGATTGAACTGTATGTGAATCTGGTAGCAACTTGGAATCGGTTGGGGTTCTTCATGTTTTGAGAACGGTTTTTATACGGCTCGTTGTAATACAGTACGCTTCACCGTGGCTTCTGCTTGGTTTGATTGCAAATGGGAGCAATTCAGCAAGTGTGGGTTCGTTGGGGGT